TAATTATCCAGTTCACTACATTTAAGATAAAGTCTTCTTTGACAATTGTTAATGCTTACCATCAAGTTGTAAAGTATTGTTACGATAGCGGAAGTCACGTGACTCTGGTAACACGTGATGAGATTCTAGAAGGATTGGGGGACTTCACTAACGTCCCAGCGTTTGCTAGACGCCCTCAATTTTAGTATATAAGCCGGCAGATAAATTGATAAAGATATAATCGAGTCAAGCTGAAAGTAACGTGTGTAAATCGTTGTGAATTATAGCGTGTTTTTAAGTTAAAGCGACTGTGGAAATTCTGTGTATTGCAAAGTTGTTTTGAGGAAGAATAAACTAGTTTTATTTAAGAAAGGACTTGTATCGCTGAAGTTTCTGGGAAAGAATTTCTACGAAAAATTAACAAACGAACAGAGACGTAACAAACTGATGTCAAAGAGTGAGACTGAAAAAAAAGATGGAAACGAGAAGTGGCAAATCAAATTACAGCTTAGCAGATTTGATGGCAGCAATACAAGAACAGCAAAAGAAACAAGAAGAACGAGAAAAGAAACAAGAAGAGAGACAACAGCAGTGGTATGAAAACCTGCAACAGTGGCAGCTTGAACAGCAAAATAAACAAAAGAGATTACAACAGCTATTGGAGGAAAAAGAAAAGAAACAAGAAGAACGAGAACACAAACAAGAAGAGAGACTACAGCAGTGGCAACTGGAACAAGAAAGGAAACAAGAAGTACAAATGGAAAAGATTAGTAAATTTCAAAGTGAATAAAAATACATTAAAGGATGATTTAATGTCTTTTACACAAGGAGGATATATTAGCCATCGACCTAATCAGCCTCAGACAACAGGAAGCCCCTTCCAGACCCCGCAGCTAAACCCTAATGCAGACATCTTCAGTCCTGCTAGAAGTCACATCCCAGATATGAATGTCAGCAATAGGGTGATCTAGTACGAAGGAAGTCACAGGAATTCGATGGGAAGGCACCATGGGAAGCATATAGAGCACGATGTGAACTACTGGCCGAAATGAATGAATGGACAGAGGAG